CATGACTGGTACCGCCTAAGAGACACTATTTCGGGGTAAACTGTATCCATGTTGCCGCCCCTGGTTCTTTTCCTTGTACCCTGGATGCATGTGATGGGCCTGGAAGAATGCAATGTGGAGTTCCAATGCAAAATCGGCTTAAGTCCAGTCAGGGGTCCGGGACATGTTGCCATGACTGTTACCGGCTAAAGAGACACTATTCGGGGTAAACTGTATCCATGTTGCCCCTGGTTCTTGTTCCTTGTACCCTGGATGCATGTAGATGGGCCTGGAAGAATGCAATGTGGAGTTCCAATGCAAATCGGCTTAAGTCCAGTCAGGGTCTGACATGTTGCCATGACTGTTAACCCGGCTAAAGAGACACTATTTCGGGGTAAACTGTATCCATGTTGCCCCCTGGTTCTTGTTCCTTATCCCTGGATGCAGTGAGTGGCCCTGGAAGAATGCAATGTGGAGTTCCAATGCAAATCGGCTTAAGTCCAGTCAGGGTCTGGACATGTTGCCAATGACTGGTACCCGCCTTAAGAGACCTATTTTCGGGGTAAACTGTATCCATGTTGCCCCTGTTCTTCGTTCCTTAGTACCCTGGATGTATGTCGATGTCCCTGGAAGAATGCAATGTGGAGTTCCAATGAAAATCGGCTTAAGTCCAGTCAGGGTCTGGACATGTTGCCATGACTGGTACCCGCCTTAAGAGACACTATTTCGGGGTAAACTGTATCCATGTTGACCCCTGGTTCTTCATCCTTGTACCCTGGATGTATGTAGAGTGTCCCTGGAAGCAATGCAATGTGGAGTTCCAATGCAAATCGGCTTAAGTCCAGTCAGGGTCTGGACATGTTGCCATGACTGGTACCCGCCTTAAGAGACACTATTTCGGGGTAAACTGTATCCATGTTGCCCCCTGGTTCTTGTTCCTTATACCCTGGATGTATGTTGGTGTCCCTGGAAGAATGCAATGTGCACTCAAAAAAATGATTCAAGCCCTTCTTAGACTTGACACATTAAAATGGTTTCACTTTACTTAAATATTTTTATTAAGAAATAAACCTAAGTATAGTTCATTAGTGTAACACAAATTACATTAATCAATTCACTTATTAAATGTATTTAAGACAGAGCAACTCAAAATGAATTGTTTTCATTGGGGACCGCCCCTTTGCACACCCCCTTTGCGTATGCGCAACATCCGTTCTGTCATTTGCCGCCTTTTGTCTAACACTGACTGTGGAAACTGACTGGGGAAACTGACGGTGGAAAGTCTATTATTTGGTAAGTATTTGTTTTTTCTAGTAGTTTAGAATGTTCCCTGTTTCCAAGTAATGCCTTTTCATAATATCGACAAGAATATTTGAAACCACCGTGTTATATTTTGCTCCGTTTTTAGTTGGGTCTAAACAGCAAGCTAGCTAGCTTGCTAGATATGGTTAGCATTGAATACTGGATAGTAGAGATCATTAGATTATATTACATTAGATTTAACGTTATTGTCATTGAACACAGTACACCGAAATTCAGTTTAAGTTCAACCAAAAAATGCAACGAGTAATTAAAGTGCATGAGGTAAAGCGGCAAGCTAGCTAGCCAGATAACTGGTTTGTTAGCTAGCTTGCTAGATACGGTTAGCATTGGATACTGGATAATGGAGATCATTAGATTATATTACATTCGATTTAATGTTATTGTCATTGAACACAGTACACCGAAATTCAGTTTAAATTCAACCAAAAAATGCAAAGAGTAATTAAAGTGCATGAGGCAAGCTAGCTAGCCAAATAACTGGTTTGTTAGCTAGCTTGCTAGATACGGTTAGCATTGGATACTGGATAATGGAGATCATTAGATTATATTACATTCGATTTAACGTTATTGTCATTGAACACAGTACACCGAAATTCAGTTTAAATTCAACCAAAAAATGCAAAGAGTAATTCAAGTGAATGAGGTAACAGTATAGGAGGCAGAGCCTGCATGCAAGGGCTGCCATTTTCTATCATAAAGCTCAGCAGGTGTGTCCATCTCTCTCCTGGCCTTAGTGCAGGCAGGCAGAGGAGGACAGGCGGAGCCACTCGTTTCTGTAGGAGTTCAGTTGAGTTTAGTTTTTTACTGCCAAATATTTAATATAAATAATGAGATAATATATATGTGAATCTTGTATGGGTTACTTCACTCACAAGCAGGCACCCAGAGTTGTGCAGAAACGTTTTTTGGGTTGTGCAATCTTAGGCAATTATGTGTTTTCTGTGAAAATTCAAATATATAAGCATTTTAATCACACCTCTAAAATATATTTGTTGTCTTTTGCAGTTTGATCAGCATTAACAAGCACCTTGGGGAAACCTCTTATTTATGGTAAGTACACGGCTACTTTCACAATACTTGCACAAGCTGATCTGTGACATTGTCAGTTGTTCAGTGTCAATTGCTAATTCTATTTTTTCTCTTTTTCAGGTTATGCATGTGGCAGTGCAAACACTGCAGTTTGGAACTAGCTAGCAGGTATTTGTTGTTAAAACATTTCCAGCAGACACATGCACATTTAAGGGGCAGTTAAACTGTAAAAACATTTTTATGTTCATCTTTGATATAATCCTAATGTGTTTCTTTCTTGTTATTCTTTCACCTTGTTTCTGCTCTAGATTAAAAGGTGTTCCATAACGGCAGGTCGGGCGCTTCTGCGCATCATCTTTGCCGACCAGTCTGACTCTAGAAAACTGACCCTGGATTCGGGAATCCCAGCAACAGTTGAAGAACTGCACACATTTGTCAAGACATCTCTTCAATTGAAAGAGGACTTCCGTCTGCAATACATGGATGTTGACTTTAACGAGTTCATGAATCTTACATCAGTGTCTGAAATTCAGGATAAAAGCACACTGAAAGTAATTTACTCTCCTATATTGTCAAATATTGAGCCCTCCATCACTTAGTACACAGTTGACTCATTTGATAAGACCTCAATTACTGGAAGCTCAGAGTCTCTAATCCCTGCATCATCAATAGCCTCATGCTGCAGTGATGATATGGTGTATACGTCAACCCCGCATCCATCCCCTGAAGCTCAGGCCTCACAATTGTTATCCTGGCCCACAGTTTTTGTGGTTCCTAAGCTCACCTACGAGGCTGAATTTGAGCTTCATCTACAGAATGCAGAGTTTGAGACAACTGGTACATACTTCCAGCCTGGCCTAAAGCTGAAAGGAGTCATTCTTGATGGCCTAGCCCAAGAAATGATCAAATTCACAAAATATCCAAAAGACTATCAGTGTGAAGAGGTAGCTGCAGCGTTGACGAGGGCCCACCCTTGTTTGGGGCAGCTAGGATCCAAGATAGGATTTGGGGGGTGGAAACAGTCTCTTAAGTACAAAATGCAAAACTATCGTACAAAGCTTGGCCGTCTTGGACATCCTGAAATCCTTGTGAACTCCTTAAAGCACAAGAAAGCAGGCCAAGGCAAAGCTGCAGCAAACATAAAAAAAACAAGAAAAGCTGAAATAAACTACATTCCTCTGCACCCAAAAGGCGAAACCACAGAAAGCTTGGAGAACGAGAGAATTGCCTTATTGTCAGAACTGAAAAAGCGTGACAATGAAGTGGTGATAAAAGCAAAAATGGAAAAAACCTTCTCTCACAGACGCCTTGAGATTGTGGAGCAAAGGCCTTTGATAGGGGACTTCAAATGCAGATGGCCTGCTCTGTTTCAGCAGAGTGAAGTAAGTAAATATTTGTATTTGTTGACAGTCTTTTATTATTATCCTTTGTGATTCATGTCTACATCCTTGCATGGTTGTGATTCTAATAAACAAGTAACAATTGGTTGTATTGTGCTTGTTAATAATATTTTTAAGGTGAATGCGGAGTTTTTGAGGATCACAACATCACCACTTCAATCAAAGTTCATGTGGCAGCTGGACCACTTCTCAGACAAGCTCTTGAAGATCTTCAAGATCAAAGGAGGACTAAAGGGCCACAAAATCAAGGAAGCCCTTGCAATATCAGATTTGGTTAGTATAAATGCAGAGAACCTCGTTTTTCACTGTATTGTTTTTGTCCATGCTCATATGAACACATTTAAGAAATTGTCTGCTTTTATAGTGCTTTTAAGGCAATAGCTTATTGTGGAAATGTAGGGGTAAGGAGTCCTGCTTAGGGAAACACACGACAGATACAGCCCTCTACTTTGTAGACCTGCTCTGTTGCACATGCATTGTGCTTAATTGTCTTTGATTTATCGCCCCTGCTTTAGTTTGAAAACATCCACATCAAGAGGGGGTGCATCCTGCGAAGCATCGCGATCTACCTCAACGAGGATCCAGACTCTTTTTTTAAGGAGTATCAGGTATGTTTATCACAATATGTTTTCAATGTAGTGGTTAACAGTGTTACCCACAATTATAACCACCATTACTTACATTGATAATAAGAAAATTATATGGCGCACACAACCCTATCCCTGCTTACATCTAAATATCTTATCAAATATCATAAATACATGCAGAAATAAATAAATGTATACATTAATATAGGAATGAATATATGTAAGAATGAATAAATACAGAAATAAAAAAATAATAATAAATAGATACAGAAGTAATTTCATCGGGCAAGTGTTAAAATAAATATAGAAAAAAGTGAATTAATACATTTATACAGATATAAATACATCTATAAATTAACATAGGAATACAATTGATAAATACAAATGTGAATTAAAACATGAATATATCTGGAAATAAATACAAATAATAAATGAATGCTGAAATAAATATTTACATTTATATATAAATACATCTATAAATGAATAAATAAATATGGACATGAATACATATGTAAGAACTTATAAATAATTGAATAAATACATAAATAAAATAATAAATAAATGCTGAAATACAGAAATATATTAATCAATAGATTCATGTTTAAAAAGGTATGTGAATGCAGCAATTACTAAATTGTTAAAGGAATAATTACATAATCACATAAATCAAGGAAATAAATTATTAAATAATAAATAATCAAATACATATCAAAATAAGTAGGTAAATGCATAATTAACTACAGGAATAACAACAAATTACATGATTAAGTAGGGATGTAAACAAATAACTTAATACCTGAATTAATAAATAAGATAAAGTTGATAATCAAACAGAACATACAGGAATATATCTTTATAATTTATTTATGTAAACATTTTCTTACAAGCTTAATTTAGTTCTGTGTTGGAGGTCCTAACCTTCTCTGGTATCACTCAGGACATTTTTGTCCAAATTGGTAATTTTTCACATCAGATTTGGCTATAATGATTTTGTGTTTTTTCTAGATACTTTTTGGAATTTCAATTTTTCTAATCGGTCTCGAATACACTGTGTACAAATTACCCTAATTGTCCATTTAAAAAATGTTCCCACACTTTCCAAAAAGTGTGGGGGAAAAATATTTAAATATAATATTGTTATCATATCATTTTATCATTCAAGTTTTTGAAAGTGGACATTTTTATCCTGAGTGGCCAGATTGGGTAGTACATTTGAGTGATACCAGAGGGTTAGTCTAAAACTGTTTTGATCAATGAGGAGAGCCACATAAGTAAATCTGCTTCTATAAAATGTAGTAATTCAGGTTTTAGTTAACACATGTGTTGTATGCTTGTGTCTTTGTTCAGGCCACTGCCTCTGAAGATGCCAAGAGGGACATGGCAAACACAGTCATGGGCATATACACACTTCAAAGAGATGTGGATGGGCAGCAAGAGGACGTGGGAATTGTCATCGAAGGCAATATAGTCATGGACAACTTGGGCAGCGTGATTGTGGGGTTTGTCATGCTATTGGGACTTATTTATGCCCTGGATTTGAGCTTTCCGGACAACCTCAAACACACCTTCGAGTTCATGCAGAAGGTAGTGATGAATCTGGATGGGCACAAGCTGAATGGTAAAATCGAAAGTCTGAAGATCAAGTTGTTCGATTTAAATGTGAAAAAGAAGTGACTCATGAGTTCATTGTTGTCATTTTATTCACGAGTTTCCTAATCAGAGCAGATTGAGCCGTTATATCAATCATTTGTGCTTTTCTGTATTTGTTTGTTTCAACACACTGTAACACTATTTCCATATGTTGGTGTTTGCAGTGCACTCTTCATGTTATGTGTTATTGTCCTGTTAGAAGAGCAGTGCATACCCCTGTTATATTGTATTCATTGTATTTGGCAAAGGGAGATTTGTAAGTTAATTATAGGAGTTCCATTTCTCTGCCATTTTAAAAATGGTATTATCTTTCAGAAATGTTTTTCATCTTTCAGTGTGAATTCATTCATTTTAAAACACTATTGAATGGAGGATTGTTTTGAATAATGTGAATTTAAAAATAAAAAAAACTAAACCATGTTTTCTATCATGTGTAACACATTTTTATTAAATTATATTTAACCTCATTATTTCATTTTCAATTAATTAAATAGGATTTAGGTGGACTAGCATTATCTAAATTCATAAAGGTAATGTTATCATTTTACTTAAACTCTATTTGAAAAATTTGAGTTGGACTAACTCATTTACATTATACTGCATGGATGCCATTAGTTTGAGTTTGTGCCACATATATTTATTGGATGGAAAACCTGCCAACAATAAAATTGAGTTAATCCAATGAGTTATTTCTTTGAGTGTGGAGTTCCAATGAAAATCGGCTTAAGTCCAGTCAGGGTCTGGACATCTTCCCATGACTGGTACCCGCCTTAAGAGACACTATTTCGGGGTAAACTGTATCCATGTTGACCCCTGGTTCTTCTCTCCTGGTGTCCATTTCATGTATATTTCCTCGTGTCCATTTCATGTACATTTCCTCGTGTCCATTTCATGTACATTTGATGGGGGAGTCACATGTGGATGAAATTGACCCAATTCCCGGAGGTTCCGGGCCGAATTTGGGAGCTCATATGCGGCCTGCCGTGCACCCCCACCCGTGGAAAGCAAAAAAAAAGTAAATAAAACGGTCAATTATATCTTAAATTCATCAAAAACTACGTTTTTAAAAATTCTCGAAAAACGGCTAAGTGCCAACGGGTGAGGGGGTCAACCCTTCGGCGCTTCGGGCGGAAGCCCCGGAGACATTTCCACTGACCCGTTGCACTTTTCAACGTAGAGGGGAATTGAGACCTCCCCTCCTCCGTTAACAATTTTCATTCATCTTTTCCAAGCTACCTTCTGCACGAAATCGGAAACCCGGTTTTTGAGAGCACTTAGAAAAAAACGGCCTATTTCTCATGATGGGGAAATCATGGAGGAATGCGTCCGATGAGTGAGCACTTTGGATCGGATACAATTGTTGCCCGGAGGACCCCCAATCACGGTTCTTACAAAACTTTAAGTTTTTGAACTGGCCTCTGGAGGAATGCAAGGGGAGTTTCCACGGAATAACGAGACACTATTTTCGGACACATTTTATCCATTTTAACCCCTTTCTCTGGTTCTTCCAAAAGTTAACTTTAACTTATTTTGCCTCTGGAGGAATGCAAGGGGAGTTGCCAGGGGACTCTACCTGCATTATGAGGCACTATTTCCGGACACATTTTCACCTCTTTCTCTGGTTCTTCCAAAAGTTAACTTTAACTTTTTCTGACTCTGGAGGAATGTAGGGTGAGTTGTCAGGGGACTCGACCCGCCTTAGGAGGCACTATTCCCGGATACATTTTATCCATTTTAACCCCTTTCTCTGGTTCTTCCAAAAGTTAACTTTAACTTTTTCTGACTCTGGAGGAATGCAAGGGGAGTTGCCAGGGGACTCTACCTGCATTATGAGGCACTATTTCCGGACACATTTTCACCATTTTCACCCCTTTCTCTGGTTCTTCCAAAAGTTAACTTTAACTTTTTCTGACTCTGGAGGAATGTAGGGTGAGTTGTCAGGGGACTCGACCCGCCTTAGGAGGCACTATTCCCGGATACATTTTATCCATTTTAACCCCTTTCTCTGGTTCTTCCAAAAGTTAACTTTAACTTTTTCTGACTCTGGAGGAATGCAAGGGGAGTTGCCAGGGGACTCTACCTGCATTATGAGGCACTATTTCCGGACACATTTTCACCATTTTCACCCCTTTCTCTGGTTCTTCCAAAAGTTAACTTTAACTTTTTCTGACTCTGGAGGAATGTAGGGTGAGTTGTCAGGGGACTCGACCCGCCTTAGGAGGCACTATTCCCGGATACATTTGATCCATTGTCACCCCTTTCTCTGGTTCTCTGGTTGCATCCGTCTCTGGATCATGGAAGAATGCATCCGCTGCATGAGGACTTTGGATCGGATACAATTGTTGCCTGGATGACCCCCAATCATGGTTCTTACCAAACTTAACGTTTTGAACTGGTCTCCGGAAGAAAGTAAGGGGAGTTGCCAGGGGACTCGACTCGCCTTAGGAGGCACTATTTCACCCAGTTTTGGCTCCCGCCTTGCCTGGATGATAGGACCGATAGATGACAGGGATCTCTGCCCGCCTAACGAGTGCCTAAATGGGACACCTTTCGCACGATGATGCAAATGGGTTATTTATTGAAAATAAACCGGAGAGATTTGACATGGGGTCTTTCTAGTTCGCTGAGTGCAACTTTCTTATTTTCACCTATCCTTCTTTGTCCCCCCCGGTTCTATACATTATACTGGTGACACTTCCCGGTACCGAAATGCTCAGGCATACAAAAATGATGGCGATCGGTTGTCCTATCTGTAATAGTCCCTACCGTGCCCTGAGCAAGCACCTGCTGAGGAACCATAGTGTGCGTAATTTAGTTGAAAGAAGAATTCTGCTGTTGTTGGCGAAAGGACGGATAAACATTAGGCTCCATCCCTGCATTATTGCAGGATGCGAGTACATCGGGACAAGGCTGGACCGCCACTTGTACAGAAACCATGTTGAGCTGTCCCGGCAGGAATTACATGTGGTTTTAACTAAACTAAAAATGAAAGTGGCCACGAAGAAGCTTCATGAACTCAGTTTGACAAACCCCACAGTAGCAATGATTACCTCTTGGGATGTGGACACTGTGGGTGATGATGTCCTGTCACAACCTCCACCCTTGTCCCCAGTGATTAAATGTGACAACCCGGACTGTAAGGAATGGAGGATGGATGCAAACAGAATGAAGGCTCAGAGGGACATATATGCTGCTGAGGTGAAATCCCTGCGCTGCATGCTGCAGCAGAGGATTAAACGTAACCGAAAGAGGATGAACCAGAGGGCCGAGGACCAAGAGCGGGTGTTTCTAAGGAAACGATCCCGAACAGAGTCAACACCAAAGAGGCTGTCCAAGTCCAAAGGTCCCTCCTGCAGGAAGTCCCCCATTGCCTCTCACACACCTGTATCCAGCTCCTCAGAACCTGCATCCATAGATACCGAGGCCTCGTCATCCTCCCCTCCCATACATTCCCCCTGGTTCAGCGGCAGGGGCCGGGGGAATCGAATGCGGGACATTACATTCCCACGCATCATGGAGAAGTATCTGCAAGGCTACCGGGACCATTATGAGGGCATCGATCCAACAGTGAGGCTCCAAGAAAACGCAGTCTCCAAAATAAGCAGAGTCAAATCATTCCTAAGCTTCATGGCACACGGTTTCAATCGCCTGTCTGACTGGCTCTTTTTGAGGGATCTGAAGAGGATACGTGGGTGGTCCCGTAGCCTGATAAAGTCAAGCCTACAGGTCACGACATCTGACTTCTATATCAAAAATATATCACACTTTCTCAAGTACATGAATGAAACACCATGCAAGGGGAGCAGGCTCAACCAGAATGACATGATTTTAATCACACGGGAAGTTGCTGCCATCCTGAAGTCCATGAGAAAGAAGGTGTTTATCCACCAGATGCAGGTGAAGTGGGACAAGATGGAAGGTCTGCCAAGCCATAAAGACATCATGGCATGTTTGACTGCGGCCAAAACTCGCATCCCTCAGCTCCTGGACGTGATGACCAGCAATCCGACTCACGCAACCCGGACCCTGCTCTATGGGTACATGACCCTCAATTGGAGCTGCATTTATGGGCACCGTCCGGGGGTCTACTCCAACATGACCAACACGGAGGTCCTAAAGGCGGAGATAACTGGCACTGCCTTTGGCCACCTCATCCACGTGAGTGAGCTATTAAAACATGTGTTTATTCTGGCAGTGATACACATGTTGTGGATGATTGATACTTGTATTGACGCTCTCTAACTCTGTCATAACAGGTAAGCAACCACAAGACGGCCAACGCGTTCGGGGAAGCGCAGATGTACCTCACCATAGAAGAATTTGGATGGATGAAGAGGTGGCTGGAAATCAAGGGGACGCTGACCGGCACCAACAACCGCTACTTCCTCTGCATAGCGGGGAAGAACCCATCGAGGAACCTTGCCACCTTCCTGAGGTTAGCATGGGCTGATGTTGGACTAAAAGGTCCCATTAACTTCACCGACCTCCGCACAGTCCACGCCGATAATGCGAAGAGGTTTCAGGACATAAGCAACCGCCAAAGAGTGAGTGATTTCATGTGTCACAACACTGCAACTGCAGACAAATGTTATGCCAATAATCCTTCTTTGAAAGAGGCTGCGGACATACGAATGCTCTTCACAGAGTCACTGCAAGCAGCGGCCGCAGCAGCATCAGGGGTGAGTGAAGACAATTTGGGGGACATTGACATCCACAGTGACCGTGACAGCTCTGGAGAGGAGCATAGCCCTACTCCCTACCAAGACTCCACCGATACCAAGACGTCAGATGAAGAATTATACAAAGACTTCAACGCTTGGAGAGCGGCGAAGAGGGAACAGTCAATGGCCGAACACAGTCCCTCAGACATGGGTGAAGAGAGGGTGCCAGCCTCTGCACCAACTTCACCCGATACGGACAATGTTGCCAGTGACCAACTTGTAAATATGCAATGTTTTGTTGTACTCAGTCCGCTTGTGCTGGATGAGTTAATAATGTTATAATGTTATAAAGTGTCAATGTATATATTTCTGTAAATAAAGTTTGTTAAAATTACTTAATTTGTCCTCTTTTTTATAACCCAATATGGGTGTTTCCCCTTTAAGATCCCCAGGGGCACGAGGTTCTGGTGGTGTGCATGAAGGGGTTTAGTCCGCGTGAGGAGTGCTCAAATGTGGGAGGATGTGTAAGGCAGAGGAGGGTAAAACAAGTTAAAGTGTGAACCTCCAGCAGGGCAGGTGGTGCTGCTGTGAATAAAGCCGACTATGGAGTCCGATGGGCGGACTGTAAAGCACCGCAAAATACACCCCCTGATAGGTAACCAGGGCCATGAGAACATCCTCCACAGGAGGGTGGGTGGTGCTGCTGTGAATAAGGCCGACTATGGAGTCCGATGGGCGGACTGTAAAGCACCGCAAAATACACCTCCTGATAGGTAACCAGGGCCATGAGAACATCCTCCACAGGAGGGTGGGTGCTGCTGTGAATAAGGCCGACTATGGAGTCCGATGGGCGGACTGTAAAGCACCGCAAAATACACCCCCTTATAGGTTACCAGGGCCATGAGAACATCCGGTACAGGAGGGTGGGTGCTGCTGTGAATAAGGCCGACTATGGAGTCCGATGGGCGGACTGTAAAGCACCGCAAAATACACCCCCTTATAGGTTACCAGGGCCATGAGAACATCCGGTAC